ATTTTATAAAAAAATTATTTTGTATTTTTTACTGAAGTTTACAGTTTTTACTATATTTGTTAAAAAATTTTTTTAAAAAACCCCCAAAAAAAAAATTCAGTCTTAAAAAATTTTTGAGCAAAATTTCCCTTTGGTGACCCATTTTAGTTAAAAAAATTTTAAATTTTCGGATATTACTCACTTTTCCCAAAAGTTTAATTTTAAACCTCGGCTTTTTTTACCAGGAATTTTAATATTTAAGAAAATTATTTAACTAGTGATTTAAATAATTTCAACTACAAGAAAACTCATTTATTTATTCATTCTTTTTATTAATTTTCATTTCCAAGACATGAAACATGTTATAAACAAGAAATACATACCCTGGAGACCTCGCTGAGACTGACATGAAACATGTTATAAACAAGCAATACATACCCTGGAGACCTTGCTGAGACTGACATGAAACATGCTATAAACAAGAAATACATACCCTGGAGACCTTGCTGAGACTGACATGAAACATGCTATAAACAAGCAATACATACCCTGGAGACCTTGCTGAGACTGACATGAAACATGCTATAAACAAGAAATACATACCCTGGAGACCTTGCTGAGACTGACATGAAACATGCTATAAACAAGAAATACATACCCTGGAGACCTCGCTGAGACTGACATGAAACATGTTATAAACAAGAAATACATACCCTGGAGACCTTGCTGAGACTGACATGAAACATGTTATAAACAAGCAATACATACCCTGGAGATCTTGCCGAGACTGACATGAAACATGCTATAAACAAGAAATACATACCCTGGGATCTCGCTGAGACTGACATGAAACATGTTATAAACAAGAAATACATACCCTGGAGACCTCGCCGAGACTGACATGAAACATGCTATAAACAAGAAATACATACCCTGGGATCTCGCTGAGACTGACATGAAACATGTTATAAACAAGCAATACATACCCTGGAGACCTCGCCGAGACTGACATGAAACATGCTATAAACAAGAAATACATACCCTGGGACCTCGCTGAGACTGACATGAAACATGTTATAAACAAGCAATACATACCCTGGAGACCTCACCGAGACTGACATGAAACATGCTATAAACAAGAAATACATACCCTGGGATCTCGCTGAGACTGACATGAAACATGCTATAAACAAGAAATACATACCCTGGAGACCTCGCCGAGACTGACATGAAACATGCTATAAACAAGAAATACATACCCTGGGATCTCGCTGAGACTGACATGAAACATGCTATAAACAAGAAATACATACCCTGGAGACCTCGCTGAGACTGACATGAAACATGTTATAAACAAGAAATACATACCCTGGAGACCTCGCTGAGACTCTGACATGAAACATGTTATAAACAAGAAATACATACCCTGGAGACCTCGCTGAGACTGACATGAAACATGCTATAAACAAGCAATACATACCCTGGAGACCTCGCTGAGACTGACATGAAACATGCTATAAACAAGAAATACATACCCTGGAGATCTCGCCGAGACTGACATGAAACATGCTATAAACAAGAAATACATACCCTGGAGACCTCGCTGAGACTGACATGAAACATGCTATAAACAAGAAATACATACCTGGAGATCTCGCCGAGACTGACATGAAAACATGCTATAAACAAGAAATACATACCCTGGAGACCTCGCCGAGACTGACATGAAACATGCTATAAACAAGCAATACATACCCTGGAGACCTCGCTGAGACTGACATGAAACATGTTATAAACAAGAAATACATACCCTGGAGACCTCGCTGAGACTGACATGAAACATGCTATAAACAAGAAATACATACCCTGGAGATCTCGCTGAGACTGACATGAAACATGCTATAAACAACGCAATACATACCCTGGAGACCTCGCTGAGACTGACATGAAACATGTTATAAACAAGAAATACATACCCTGGAGATCTTGCCGAGACTGACATGAAACATGCTATAAACAAGAAATACATACCCTGGAGACCTCGCCGAGACTGACATGAAACATGCTATAAACAAGAAATACATACCCTGGAGATCTCGCCGAGACTGACATGAAACATGCTATAAACAAGAAATACATACCCTGGAGACCTCGCTGAGACTGACATGAAACATGCTATAAACAAGAAATACATACCCTGGAGATCTCGCCGAGACTGACATGAAACATGCTATAAACAAGAAATACATACCCTGGAGACCTCGCCGAGACTGACATGAAACATGCTATAAACAAGAAATACATACCCTGGAGATCTCGCCGAGACTGACATGAAACATGCTATAAAAAAGAAATACATACCCTGGAGACCTCGCTGAGACTGACATGAAAACATGCTATAAACAAGAAATACATACCCTGGAGATCTCGCCGAGACTGACATGAAACATGCTATAACAAGAAATACATACCCTGGAGATCTCGCCGATACTGACATGAAACATGCTATAAACAAGGAATAAATACCCTGGAGATCTCGCCAAGACTGACATGAAACATGCTATAAACAAGGAATAAATACCCTGGAGATCTCGCTGAGACATCTTGACCATTATGTATTCTGTATGATAATCTAAGATCCTCCGGCAGTGGATGTTGAATATGCTCCTCCACTGCCCGCAACTCCTCCTCCGACACTCCATCTACAAACAATCCAAATACTTTTATTCTTGCACATTGTACTATTAATTTTAAATGGTATTTTAAAATGACTTAAATAAGTGGAGGGTAAATTGTCATATGCTTGCAATGACTCATATATATGAAAGGTTTTATCATCACTAACTTGTAAAATTTGGCAGTGTTTCTATATATATCTACTAAATTATGAAAATACTTTTATAGGCATTTTTTTTCATTTTATGTTCAGAGAAGGGCTAACTTTGATCTCTGCAAAACACAGAAAAATGGCCAATATTTCTAGATTACCCATGTACTGAATGTATTATCCTAAAACTGATTTGTTTAGTAAAATAACTTTTCTCTACAAAAATTGTATGTAAAAATTTTTTCAAAAAATTAGAAGTTCATTATATAGCTTCTATCAACATATCAATACCTTTGACTAATGCTAACAAAATAGAAATTATATTTACCAAACATGAATCAAGTGAAGTAATATAATTATTATAATCATTATTCAATGCTGACCTTGTAATGTGGCTAGTATGGATGGACAGTTCTTCTCTAAGAATGCCTCAATTTTATTCCAGGCTTGCCGAATCTCCTTATAATTTTTGTATCTACCATATTCCTTGTATAATGATATAAAATGCTCATACCAAGTCGATCCCTTCTCACACCTGAAATTTAAAATAAAAATATCAGAAGGTACATATCAGTCAATAAATATAGATGGCATCAGAATTCTATAAGAAATGCCACATGTAGACAGTCAACTGCTAACTAGATACTCCAACTCCAAATATTTGGAAGCAGAATTATGGTAGTTAATAGTTTATTTTTAGTGTTTGAATGAACAATGCAGGTGTATGTTTTTTAATTTTAAGTCTCTTCCTTAAGAATTTCCACAACCTGAGCTTATCAAAGAGATTCACCCTTTTTATGTCTTAATAAAGTTTTATGAATTACATGTCACAGGGTGAGAAAATTGTACAGTGGTCAGCCTGACCAAGTACACCAACTAGGGAAACTAGAAATTACATTCAACAACTTTACCAAATAAGCTACCAGAAGGTTTACACATTTATCTCCCAAATTAGTGAACAATTCTATTCAATGAGATGAATCACAAAATAAAGATAAGTTACACACTGTAAGTTGAGGAAGTAGTGTTCACATTGCCAGCTCCAAAGTGAGTCATCCTTACATAGTCTATGGAACCTCTGATTCACACAAGACACACTGAAATAATATATTATTATATGTTAAATATGTTCTAACATCAAAGTTTTTCAAAATACTAAACCAATAAAATTGTAGTGCAGAAAAAGGATTACAGCGCCAGTAAAATATCTAAGAATTTATCACTTTAGCAACATTTTTATGCATTAAGATCTGCATTATGCTGGACATAATTATAAGAGCTCTAGTGCTTTACTTGATTTGGATAGGAATGTATATCAATCTAACTATTTTCATAACATATATTTAGTTCCCACAACAAAATTAGCATATATTAATTAAATAGTTCATGTGCATAAATGCATGTGGAGTAAAGCAATTTACTCATCCAAAATAATAATAAAATGTTCCAACAATGAAAAAGAATAAGGAACAAGCCATGTATGTAAAGTGCAATAAATACAATTATAGTCATTGAGTTCTGATAATGGCAAGTTCTCCTTTTTTAATGCTAATTCAATGTTAATGATAAATCGAAAAAAAATCTAAAAATGTTTAAGAAAAATGTGTTGCCATGAGAAGTTTATTATCAACACAATGAAAGATTTACTCTTTTGCAATATTTGACAGTTTATATCAAAGACATAAACTTACTTGGATAAATCTTTATAATGAAGAAATCGTAAAACAATTATCAGAGATTCATCTGGTAATGACAGCAGCATGTTTACCTGTCAACCTGTATAGATAGAGAAATATAATTATCATAACTTTAAAAGACAAGTAAAATGAAAAGTAATCTAGTAAACATTTGAAAATATTGTACTCGTCTAACACGTACTGTCTAATAATATTTTGGACTAATTGCTCTTTAATATTTTAATGTCAGTCACATTTTGGCATCTATTAGGCGTGACATATAAATAAAGTAACTTAAACATAAATAACACGCTTTGTAGACTTAAAGTAAACATGATATACAGTGTGAAATATGACAGTTGAAATATAAATCATCCGAATATACATGCATTTGACTTTTGACAGCATTTACCCATCGATGCAAATTTCCATCTTAAACATGCAAAAATACAATAGAGAATATACCTTCCAAAATGAATCGATTAATTGATTTCAACAAAGTCCAATGTTATCAATTATTTTAAGTAAACAAACATGACCTCTTTATTTTTCTCTCCAAACCCGGATATGCGTCTGACAGATGGCGGGAAATTCGAAGCGGCTTTAAATTCATCAATGGCATATTTTCCATATTATAGCCCGAGTTTATATTGGTCAAATTAACATTTTTAAGTATTGCACCTAAACGATGAACTATAAAAGCCTTAGTTTTTACCTATTTAAACAAGTTAGTATTCAACTAATTTCTGGGACTAAATTAATACCCGGATGAGATACAAGATACAGCAAGAGGACTTCCTTAGTTTTTAAGTGGCACAAACGCTTTTCTGATGGGAGAGAAAGCACATAAGATGATTCTAGGTCCGGAAGACGGACGTCGATCAGCGCGTCAATTTTAAAGCGCCGAATATTGGATGACGCACTCAAAAAAGATCGACGCCTAACGGTGCGGGAGTTGTCTAACATAACTGGACTCAGTACAGGAAGTGTACACAACATACTCATTAAAGAAAGGTAAGTTGTTGTTGTTTTTTCTTTCTTGTATCTTTATTTAATGTTGATATAATTTGAATTCTTTACGTAAAAATCAGAACAATTGATAAAAAATGCCCCAATGAAAAATGATATCGAATACATATTAAATGTGAAAAATTCATGCATAATGCACAAATCGCATATTGTATCTTTATAATCTGTGTTAAACTTGCATATTGAACATTTGCATTCATAGAACAACTAGATCTACTAAAACACTGGCTATTAATTTATTTTTTAATATTTATTTTCAGGTTCACGCAATATGGGTACCACGCTTATTGGAAGATCACGAGATGGAAAGAAGAGTAATAGAGTCAAGAAAGTTTCTGCAAGAGTATCAGCGTTTTGGTTACAGCTTTCTAGGCTCAATCATCACCACTGACGAGACCTGGCTTTTTCTACACGACCCAGATACGAAAACGCAGTCCGCAGTATATGGTGCCGATCAGACCCTACCCATGAAAGCCCGTGCGATACGGTCTGCAGGCAAGCAAATGTATGCGATGTTTGCTGGCAGGAAAGGAATAATCCTCTGCCATGCTGTTCCGACACATACGCACATCAATGCAGATTATTATTCAAATGTATTTTTTATATCTAGTGCCTTGATTTAATGTAACATGCAAGTTTTATATCAATAACATGATGAGTGTTATGTTTTTATAATAATGTCAGAAAATTAACGGTACCTGTAGGAATATATATATATTTAAATCATCACAAATAATAATATTTTATTTATAAACACTTGTTGTATTATCTAAAGAAGAAAAATTATTTTCACATTGATATCTGTAGTGAATTAAGAATAGTGTACGCTTCTTTATTTCAACAGGTGCTACGTCGTGACTTAGTGTACGCACTTCAAAAAAAAAAAGAGACCGGGTGTTCCGCTTGAAAGTTTCAAGTTTCATCAGGATAATGCTTCAACAATTAACCCATGCTCCATATTCACCTGATTTGGCTCCTTTCGACTATGCTATATTCCCTCATATTAAGAACATGCTTAAGGGCCATCGATTTGAGAATTTGAAAGAATTAAATAAACAGACTTTATCAATTATACGGCAGATGACGAAAGAGTGGTTTGATATGTTGATTCATCGGCATCAACGATGCATAGAGTGTAATGGACGGTACTTTTGAAAAAATGTGAAAGAATGAACATTTATCAGTCTATATTGTAACTTCTCAACGACGTTATATTTTGACGTGATAATTACACCGTATTGTGCCCGGTAACGTTATATGAACAGAACATATGTTATATGTATGTTAGTTATGTTATCCTTGTTGATGTAGTTTTATATTTTGTAGTTCATATTGGTATTTATCTGTTGGAAAGATAATGATCTATCCAATAATGTATGTTTTATGTAGTTTCAATAAACGAGATAAAAGTAATACGGTTTGTCCACGAACTTTTTGAACATCCCTCGTAGAACAACGTTTAAAACTCATTTCTGCCAAAATGTCCCGATTGTCCATTAAAATCGTGTTTCTAAAGCAATCGTCATTTTTTAAAAAACATTCTTGTATGACCACAAAAAAAATGTATTGCACACAGCTGCTTGGAACTATGAAAGTTTTTATAGCGTCTCAAAATAGAAAAAAATATATCGTAGGATGCCATGTTTCAGTGACGGCTCAGTTTCAGCACGGACATAAATTAGTCAAAATATATTGACGTGTCAAAGCTAGATTCTGTCTGGGCCAGAATCTCCCTTCCAGAGGGTAGATTTTGCCCATACACAAAATAGCTGAATATCTCATCTCGTAGTACAGTAAGTTGGACTATTATGATGCCTTAAAAAAAGCAATGTTTCAAAATGTTTATCACAGTGTGAAAAATAAAACCTGAATACAGCTTTGAAGATAATTAGAAATTCCTTTGTACAAATTTCTCCCCCCCCCCCCCCCTTAAGCATATTCCTTGATATTACTTTTTACACTAACATTATATGATCAGGTTTTCTAAACAAAAGTTTAATTTGAAATGACTTCCTTTTTATGAGTGTCAACATGTTCTCTCCCCGTAAGTCATTTGATCTGACGTTTTAGTAAACGGTGAGATTAGAATACAAATACTAAAAGTTCAATGAAATTACGCACAAATGTTCATTAGGGTGAATAAGGCTGAAGAATATTTGAATCATGTCATATCCCTTCTGCGACTTCCTTTCTCTTAAAAGTCACGTAAACAAGTGATTTATTATCAAATATAACTTCATACGTCATCCATGGAGAAATCTTGATTGATGATCTTGCTAGCTATATTGATATTTTAGATATCAAAGGAAGCAAAGTACATTGAAACATGACTTAGTTTACAATGACAGGTTCCTATATGGACAAATATCAGCAAACATTCCTTCAATGAGGCAAAATTAGTACGACAGTTACCGATACGATATATTATTTCACTAAGTTTAAACGAGAACACCATTAATATTGTTGCGACATCCCCCTAATTGTCTGCAAAGGTCATTAATTGTTGTCTATTTTATATGTATATTGGGGGTACATTTTGAGAATTTTTATGAAACAAGTTTGTATATGATTTGGCAAATTGATCGTCCATGCTTTCGATTGGCATTCAATTCATGTTACATGACTTCTCTATAAATATGTCATGTAAACTAAAAGTAATATTGCGTGTGTTCGAAATATACAATGACGACACAACTATGTCTTTAGTTTTCTCTAAATTAGATTTACAGTTTCTCCAGAAAAACTACGTCTAGTGATTTATATAATACCAGCTTCCATTAGCCTGAACGTGAGAATGCTTGCTGTACATGTAATGTTTAATGGTTGTATTAGTTGACTAACATGAGGTTAGTGAACTTTAAAGCAAGGTAAATAGGATCGTAATCACGTTCATTCCATACGAGGGAAACAGATTAAATTATGTATACGTTCAGATATAATTGTTAAAAAAAATTACTTCTTTTCTTCATCAATCATGACAGAGATAAAAATATAGGACACATATACCTGTTCCAATTTTTCACTGCTGTTATTTTTTTTTACAAACTTAAATATGTTTGTTTTTATAAACGAATTATAGAGTTTACAGTTTTATTGCAGTTATGATTCTATAAAAAACTGATTCTGTATCTACTGTACAAAGGAATAATTGCGTGATTATATTTTTCTTTATGAAATGTGACATGAATTGTCAAACATTTAATAAGTAAAGGTACATTTAAACAGTAAACCTCCGTTACATAACAGCTAAAGTTTGTAAAAGAAATATCATTTTCCAAATGCAGTTAAGAAATAGATAAAAGGTTTTTTAAACATTACATTGGCAGTTTTTAAAAATATTTTGGAATAAACCAGATATATTTTAATTCATTGCATTAATGCATTTAGAAAATGAAAAAGAAATCAGAATTTTATTAACGCATGTTAAAAAAGCATTTGATCAACGAATACACATTACTTTATTTTAAACAAAATAAATTCACAAACCCTGCAAGGATGTATATATCCTTGTTGATAGCATGGTATCTGTCCCATTTGTTTATATAATACTATCTGTCCCATTTGTTTATGTAATACTATATGATAGTTTAAAAGTATTTATTGTACCATGAAATGCTTATAATCAAAATGAAAATCTTTCTTTTTGATAATTTGTTCATGCATTAAATTAAAATACATATGTAAATGTTTTATTTTGTATTTTTGCTGTTGGATATTTGACTGTATACTATGCACGTACCGGATACACACATGTCACTGGTCAGATGTTCCCGACTTATCTTTTTATCAAGATATAGATGACTTTGTTCGGAACAATGTTGCACCTTATTTAAAGAAAATAAATGCAATAACCATTGTCGCTGAAATACTGTATTTGTCATAGTAAGACGATAATCGTGACTGTAACATGATAATTGATGTTATAACATGATAATTATCGCAGTAACATGAAAATTGTAATGGTTCCATGATAGTTGTCATCATGACATCATCAATGAGAAAAATACTTCTATCTATACATCGATGACCATATGCAGAACATGTGGATTGTTATCGGTTTATTACTCGCAATTGGTGATTTCGTAGTCATTTAAACACCAAGACAAATACAAAACGTCGTCTACGCTCTTTATTTTCGGAAATTCAATAAACAATTGCACACAGTCTTATAATTAGTATACTATCAACATAATATTATATTTATGGTGTCCTCTTTCCTTTGAGCTAAACTTTTTAAAGCTGTAATATAATATAGAGTTACAATTTTATCTCGCTGTGAACTATTTATTTATCCTCATAATCAATGAGTTATTATGGTATTTAATAACTGGCCATTTAACACTTAAACATGATGTACAAAAACAGAATAAACAGAGTGGAATTGTCATAGAATCGAATTGACAGCAATAAAATGGAGGATGAAACGAATACACAAAGGAATATTGGGAGGGAATCAGTTCCGAGGATGTTTAAAATTCAAATAGATTATTGGTAAATATTTTACTTCATTTCATAACCCTTTGATAGTGGTGGCTTATAATTTTGCAAAACATTGACTTTT